AGGCGTTTCCCCAGAGTCACCTGGAGCCCAGGCTTGGCACATACAATCATCCTCCTGAGGGGGCAGGCCCAGAGTCCCAGAGCAGCCCTGGTCACCCGGCTTCCTCAAGGGCATACCCTAGTAGAATAAGAGGGGGCACTTAGTAGTAGCAACCAGACCACAGTGGGTTCTGCCTCCGTATTGCAAACCAAGCAAAGGCAATGGCTCATACACTCCCAAGCACTCACTTCCTAAGGCTCTTCCAACTACAGTGTCAGGAAACACACACACACACACACACACACACACACACACACACAGCAAGACCCACGGCTTTCACCTAAAGTCTTCGCACAGGGAATAATGTGATTCATGAAATATTTAAAAGGCCTTAGGCAATAGAATTGTCTCTTGATTTTTTTTTTTTCGGTGTTTAACAGACAAGTGTAATTGGAAATGTTTGGAGCATGAACACAGGCACACACACATACACACTCTAATTTGGAATTATGCAAAACGATATCATTATTCACTACAACCTGAAGCAAAGCTACTGCAATGGAATAACAAGTACCATATCTATACAAGTGCGCGGCCCTCAAGTCGGTTCTCATTTGGACAAGGGTGACCCACGTGGCCTAACCCTTTAAGGTCTGTTTAGAGGAAATGGCCTGGTGTGTTTTACATTTGTGAAGCTATTTAGCCTCCTGGTTTGACAAGATTTTTGAGAGGGGTGAAAATTAATTATAATTGCAGTATTGCTACAATAATTTAGTTGGCTAATTGCATTTCAGTGCAGAAGCAGTCAAGGAAGATTTTCCTCCCCAGGTTATTCTCCGATGTGGCAGCATTTATTTTAAGAGTAATGAGATTTTTAAAAAGTCAAACCTTAAATATCATGGCTTCAGCAATCTGTCCTGCTTAAAGTTTAATGCGAAATGAGATAGCACCTCCGTGAGAGCAGTTCCACGTGAACATGGATCCAGTTTTCTCCGAGACTTCAAATGAGAACCTCTCTCTCCCTTGAAAACTACTCGAGGGATCTCTATGACATTGTTTGGGGCTGATTTTTATTTGAGAGCACCAGTGTTTGTGACTCTGTAGTGAGGGAGGCACTGACGAGGGTGGGTAGGAAGTTTTGAAAACTTAATACTGGAAGTCACTACATGAGGTATCTGTTCATGGAAGAGGTACCACAAGTATCGGAAGATTGAGAAAAAAAAAGATGAGTGAAAAACCTGGGTTGTTGTGGGACTTTTCTGGATCTCATTGTTCTCGCACTGGCAGTTCTGAATACATAACCTGTCCGTGGCTGTTTTGAGGGAAATGTATCTAACTCTAGACCAGCAGTGAGCACTTACGATTAATAAACTCTTGAGAGACAGGACCTATCACCTTAAAATCTTGAAGACTCTGCCCCAACGCCTGATTCAAGGTACTTTTCTCAGGTGCTGAACCTGTCAGAGGCGTTTGAACCAGAGCAACTCCATCTTGAATTGGAGCTGGGTAAAATGAGGCTGAGACCTACTGGGCTACATTCCCAGGTGGCGAAGGCATTCTGAGTCACAGGATGAGATAGGAGGTCAGCACAAGATACAGATCATAAAGACGTTCTGATAAAACAGGCTGCAGTAAAGAAGTTGGCTAAAACCCACCAAAACCAAGATGGCAACGAGAGTGACCTCTGGTTGTCCTCACTGCTATACTCCCACCAGTGCCGTGACAGTTTACAAATGCCATGGCAATGTCAGGAAGTTACCCTATATGATCTAAAAGGAGGAGGCATGAATAATCCCCCCTTGTTTAGCATAGTATCAAGAAATAATCATAAAAATGGGCAACTGGCAGCCCTCAGAGCTGCTCTGACTATGGGGTAGTCGTTCTTTCATTCCTTTACTTTCTTAATAAACTTGCTTTCACTTTACTCTATGGACACGCCCTGAATTCTTTCTTGCATGAGATCCAAGCGCCCTTTCTTGAGGTCTGGATCGGGAACCCCTTCCTGTAACAAAACCATCAGATATCAAGCTCTTCCACACTCTAGCTCAATTCAGTGAGCAAGTTTAGTACATTCTCCTCCTCCCCTTCTCTGCTATGCTGTCAGTCCAGCCACCATTTGTGTGTCTGAAAAGGAGGCTACGACGTGCTTTCTCAAATACAGCACATCAAAGTGGGTCTAATGGCATGACATGGACTATTTCTTATGGCCTTCATCTGGATTCTAACTATATAGAGGGTCACTATGCAGATCTACCCAGGGCTGCCCTCAAGGTTATGCAATTCATGTTCTGCACAACGGCAGCTGATCAAGGGGTGAGGAGGTTGAGCTCCCACCCTGCTCCACTTGCTAGCTGAGACCCCTGCTCAGGTTGTATTCCAGAGAAATGGGTGCCTTTTCTGATTCATCATTGGGCCAAGGGAGGCCCTGAGTCATCCCTAACCCTCTCCCTCCCAGAAATTCCAAAATCTAATGTTCATCTCCTCATCTCCGACACTGTTGATGTCCTCTTAAGGAAGAGATTATGCACATGGCAAAGGTGAATTCATTTTGAAGATATGTTTTCTGCTCAGTGTGAAGAAGAAGAAGAGACAGGGAGGGAAACAGAGAAAAGGGAAGGATAAAATGAATGGTGGAGAAGTTGTCCCTCTGCCTAATAAATTGTGGATTCATTGTCCTTCTCTGGACACAGCTGCAAAGGGGCAGAAAATCAATTTTTTCTATTACTCTATGGTGAGGAAGGAAAACCTATCTGTAAATTGAATTAAACCCCATAATAGCATGTCTGTGTATTTGTTGAGGACTAGAAAAATTAGCCACAGATACAACTACATAATCCAGCAATGTAACTAGAAATCAACACTCTCCCATTTCAAAGCTTCGTTGAGACATTTTCTTTTCCTTTTTTAAAGAAACACCCATGGCTAAATGTCACTAAGATTCTTCGGCATGCCAACACTTCAACACCTCAATGAGGACTCTGGAAGAGAAGGAACTCCAAAGTCCCATCTGGGTAGAGCGTGCTTCCAAATTCTTGCCTTTGCTAGTTGAGTATCAGTCAGTCAGTCAATAATGATTGGATACGAACTAGACCCCTCTAGCTGATGGTTTCTTCCCAAGTCGCAATCTGTGGTGCTAACTGTGGAATAAATCCCCTGTTTCTGTGTGGGCTAGATCTTGTTCACAGACACCGTAACCCATCCACTCAGTACTGAATAATCTTGCTACTGCAGTCAGTGAGGGTCCTGAAATTTCATTAGCAGTCTGCCCTCTAGCGGAGCAACATAGTACTTCAGATTTTCTAGGAGTAGAAAAGATTTTTTTTTTTTTTTCCTTTTCTTTCATGGAGCAAAATAATTCAAGTTTTCCAGATAGTGCAAGGTGAGGCAGTCATCTTCAGAAGTCAGCTTCCAGAGCTGAGGCAAACAAGGCTCACACGGATAGGTCCCCAGGTCAGAGTTAGAGGCAGATGGTGCTGAGGTGGGTGTCCCAGCGGAGACTGCAGGGACAAAGGTCCTTCTTTCATCCTTTGAACCCTCCAGAACTTTCCTTGGACATAAGCATTCAGTTCCCCACTCTCTCGTTATGCAAATAGGACCCACTTTAAGAGAAATCAGCATAACAGGGATGCTAAAAATCAGAGGCTTTTGTAATTTTTTGGCAAATTATTAACACAGAGGAGCCTTTCAAAAAGGTTCACGTTAAATTCTTTAAAAGGCAAAAATTCACAAGTTTTATAAAAAGACCCCGTCTTTGTGGCTGTTAATTTTAAGAGGAGAGTCTATTTTGTGATGTTGGTGGGATGTTGGTAAGGCAGAAGATAATCTTGAGATCTGTTGTTTTGGGTTTCGCTTGTGGCTTTTTTAAAAAGTCAGAACTTGGCTTGCTTCAGTTTGTCAATGTGGTAGCAGAGTTTTAGTGCGGGTCCCAGCTTCAGGCCCAGGTACTTCATGACCATGTCACTCTTCAGCAACAGCAGAGCATTGCCGTCAATCTCCTGGTGGGATAGGATCAGAAGAAAGAAAATTCAGAAGATGGTCAGAGTCATCAAACAGTGGCTAAGGTTAAGGTATGGTCAAGGGTGATGTGCTCAGGGCATATGGATTGGTTTAGGCAGCATATTCTCTTGGTCCTGGGGCAAGATCTTTTAAAATATTAAAGCAAACAAATACTGTGTTCTCCTCTCCCCATCATCTCTCTGTAGTCATCTGATACATGGGATGTCTCGTATTCCTGCCCTCCCCTCATAGAAGGAATCAAACACAACCCCATGTGTGTTCCTAATATCCCACTTAGGAAGTTTATCTCCTCATCCAACCTTGGCTAAAGGGGCAAGAAGTGTCATCCATTGGACACTGAAACTAGAGGGTCTTTCCATTCCAAACCTCCCCCTATTGCCCTAATTTCTCATTTCTTTTCTTGGTAGGCCCACCTACCTTTAGCTGATGACAAAACTACTCATTCCACCCAATGGAGGATTTCAGATGTGTTTAGCCCTGTCTGTTCCACTAGACGGAATACACTAAAGAATGCACCTGCTTCATCTCAGGGTTCAGCACAAAGAACTACTAAGGGGATGAACCAGTCCTTTGCGGTTTGGTCCCGGTGCTGCTGCCACTGGTCATTGAAAATGGTCACCCTCCAGAATGCATGCTGAGTTCATGAACCTAGCAAGGCTGGGCTTCCATGGTCACCTTTAGTGCTATTTTCAGGTCACTGGAGACAAAGGGTAGAAATTTGAGGTGCTCAGGCGGGGAGAAGAGACATAGTTACAGGACTCATGTAACGGTGCCAGGGTCACCAGCCCTCTCATTCATCTGCCCAGCCCACCAGTATTGATGGAGCACCCACTCTGTGTCACTCACTCTCCATGTCTTTGACAACACAGCAGTGGGCAAGGCTTACCTGTGGGCCGCTCCCAGGAGCCTCATTTTCTACTGTCTTTTATTTCCCTCACCTCCTGGACTCCCACCATCTCCTCCCATCCTGGAAGACAGCCAGACTCCCCCTGCCCAAATCTGTCCAAGCATAACCCACTCTGTGGTTCCTGGTCTCAAGGCCCCAGTGTTAGGTGAGGCCAACATATGCCTAATAAAAGACGGGTGCTGAGTTAGATGAGAATCCTCCTCAGATTGGAGAGCATGATTTCTATGACAGAATCACCAAATAAAGTGAGAAACAGGAAACAAAAATAATGGTCACGGCGGAAGGCAGAATAACGCTCCTTCCCCTCCATGCACGATGTCTGGATTCTAGTCCCCAAACCTGTGAATGTCAAGTTAGACGGCAAAGGGGAATTAAGGCTGCAGGTGGGATTAAGCTTGCTAATCCGCTGACTTTAAAGTAGGGAGATTATCCCGGATTATGGGGCCGGGTGGGTGGGGAGGGGGCGGCTGTGTAATCACAAAACTCTTTAAACGTGGAAGAGGACATCAGCAGCGACAACCGGGGATGGCAGCCCGAGCAGCAAACAGGCCTCAGCTTGATGTTACAGGCTTTAAAGACGATGGCAGGGGGACGGGAGCCAAGGACTGATGGTGGATCTAGAAGCCGGAAAAGACAACCAAGTGGATTCTCCTAGAACCTCCAGAAGGAAAGGCAGCCTTGCTGGCTGAGCCCAGTGAGACCCATGCCAGGCTCCTGAACCCCAGAGCGGTTAGACAGAGAAGGTGGATTGTGTGAGGCCACTATGCTGGTGGTAATCTGTTACAGCAGGATACAAAATGAGTACAGAGCCAGGCGCGGTGGCTCACGCCTGTCATCCCAGCACTTTGGGATGAGACCAGCCTGGCCAATATGGTGAAACCCTGTCTCGACTAAAAATACAAATATTAGCCGGGCATGGTGGCGGGCGCCTGTAATCCCAGCTGCTCGGGAGGCTGAGGCGCAAGAATTGCTTGAACTGGGGAGGCAGAGGCTGCAGTGAGCCAAGATTGAGATCTCACCACTGCATTCCAGCCTGAGTGACAGAGTGAGACTCCGTCTCAAACAAAAACAAAATGAGTATAGTAAGCCTAGCAGGTAAATTACTGATTCTTATCTTTAAAAAAAAATTACCATCTCTCTATATTTTAGCATATCTCAAAATCCTCATAAAGCTCTCTGCTCAGTGAAGGCTGTCTGAGCCAGGAACCGTGCTGAACAACTTTTGTGCATTTTCTTATTTAATCCTTGAAGTGGTTTAGGAACAGGCACTACTGCGGTTTGCCTGGTATGTCGTAGGTGTGCTGTCAATATTTGTTGTATGCACAGACGGCTGGATGGGCAGGAAGCAGGCACTCCTGATGAAGGCCAACATGAGAGAACAGATGGGGCAAATATTCCTTTAAAAACAAATTAAGTGGTCGTTCTGCTCTGAGGAGCCTGTGGTTGTACCTGTCCCTCTCATCTCTGGCTCCCTTGAGGGTGTCCCTAGGGCTTAGTTTAGAGCTCCCCCTACACCTCCCCTGGCAGCATCCCGCAGCTCCCTGAACCTCACTCTCCTTCCATGCCTGCTCCCCCAACCCCCCCAAGGTCAAACCCACCACTCGCATACGTGCTTTCTGAAGAGCTCCACGTGAGGCCCCAGAGCCTGCGGGTCGGCGTCCTTCACAAACCACACCACGTCCTCCACAGTCCAGGCGGAGGGGTTCCTGCTCCGTGGCCGCCTGGCATCCTGCACATCCTGAGAAGGGCTTGAGGCTGGATGGGGTACATAGACGGAGACTGTGAGCCAGTGGGACAGGGCCGGGCACCTACCTGGTGCTGCCTGCCCCCACCTAGCCTGGAAGGGGGGGTCTTCAGTGCCCATGAATCCAAGGAGCTGACCCAAGTGACCTCCTGTCACAGGGAAAGACTGTGAGTGGCAGCTCTATCAGCAGCCCAGAGCACGGAAGGCCACTCCTAGATACATTACCCTCCCCATCTATGCCAAAGCTCGCTGCTCTCCCAGGAGAAGAAGCGCGAGACAGTGGATTCCCTTCAATAGACTAGAATTCCCACCCGAGTTGAAGTTTTCAAGACTCTCCCGCTCAGTTCTCTCTCAGCGGGCCCAGGGCCTCCTGAGCCTGGGTACCTGGTGACCAGGGCAAGTGTGCTAAGATGAGTGTCCAAATGAGCCTCATCACATCAGTGAGGCCAGTGACTTGGGGTCCTTTCTGCCTCCTTGGCCTTCACACTGAGATGATAGAGGCATGGCAGAATTGAGGTAGCTTTTGGTTCTCGTTCACGGTCTCTGCAGAATGCAAGTCTGCGGCAGCATCCTCAGAGCCATCCCTGGTCACACATGCAGAAAGAGGATGTCCCCTCACTCACTGCCTCAGGTACGCACCGAGTCCTTGCATGGCCCTCTGGGGCTGTCAGAGCATTTGCCTGGGTCTCCCCTGCTGCACTGCGAACTCCCTGACCACAAAGGGCCTAACCTGTGCCTGGTCCATAGCTGGTCCCTGGGAAATGGTTGCATAGGGTATTTCCCATGCAGCAGGTGAAAAGGCTCAGGGCAGTGAAGGAGGAAGAGAGTAATGAATTCAATGGCTGGCAATACTTACGGGTTGATTTTTGTGTGTGTATGTCCCGAACTAATTAATCCTCTTTCCCTGCAGCCAGCTCCTCTTCCTATCTCCCCCATTTGGGGAACCTACCTCTTCCTCCTCCCCTTTTTGTGCTTCCCACATTTAATTATTCTGAAGCTCTTGGGAGAATGCCTCTGATGCTGGTGTCCTCTCTTCCAACCCTGCTATCCCAGTCCCAGAGCCTGCCACCTAACCCCCTGCCATGGGTTCCTAATGGGTATTTTTGGGCCATGCCCTGTTCTTCCTACTGCCTACAACTACCACTGCCTCATGTTCTCCCTAAGACCCATCTCTCCATGGGTCCCCCTTACCAACACACTGAGTCCTCATTCTACCTCAAGGTCAAGGGCTCTCTTGGTCTTAATAATATTTTTCTTTCTTAATGGAGAGGGAGAAGAGCTTTGGTGCCAGAGAGACCTAGGGACAGATCCTGGAGTTGCCGCTTGCTGGTGATTGGACCAGGATGTAGCTCATGTGTGAAATGGCCGTGCTTTCTACCTGGAGGGGCAGGTGTGAGGACAGAGATGGGATACTGCCCTGCCCCGAGTCTGACCTATGTCAAGTGCTCCACCAAGGGCAGGAGCCTCCCTCCCTTCCCCACAGCCCTCATCTCCTGTGCACCACCTGTCTGTCTGGGTACACTTGTTGTGACCGACCGGATGTCTCCCCAGCTTCCTTCCTCTGCCTGTGGCTGGTGCTTTGGCTTCAACCTAGAAGGCATTTACCCTTCTCCTTCCCACTCATGTTCCACCTGATGCTTTCATGAACAGAAATGTTCTGTACTTCCTGCAGCCTGCACGTCACCTTCCTACCCCTTTATTTTATTGTATTTTATTTATTTATTTTTTGAGACAGAGTTTCACTCTTGTTGCCCAGGCTGGAGTGCAGTGGCGCGATCTCTGCTCACCACAACCTCCACCTCCCGGGTTCAAGCGATTCTCCTGCCTCAGCCTCCCGAGGAGCTGAGATTAGAGGCGCCCACCACCACCCCCAGCTAATTCCTGTATTTTAGTGGAGACGGGGTTTCACCATGTTGGTCAGGCTGGCTGGGAACTCCTGACCTCAGGTGATCTACCCATCTTAGCCTCCCAAAGTGCTGGGATTACAGGTGTGAGCCACAGCACCCAGCCTCCTACCCCTTTATTCCTACATCTTTATTTGTTCATCTGTCTCTTAATGTGCTTTCACATTCCGCTTTGTAGTACAATTATTTATGAACTTCTCTATAACCTCTAGTTAGATTTTAATTTCCTAAGGATTCCTCCCACTCACTCCACAAACATTGACTGAGCACCTTCTCTGTACCACGTGCTGGGTGAAGTGTTTGGTGAAAAATACAAATGTGATCCTCTCATGACAGGGGTTATAATCATTGACTCCTCCTTGGCTCGGAGTACATATACAGTCATGTGCCGCCTAAGGACGGTGGTCCCATAAGATGATAATGATTCTAGTTCCTATTACCTAGTGATTTGTGCTACAATTTCCTATAGTATTCAGTACAGTAATATGCTGTACAGGTTTGTAGCCTAAAAGCAATAGGCTATGCCACACTGCCTAGGTGTATAGTAGACTATACCATCTAGGTTTGTGCAAGTACAACCTATGATTTTCACACAACATCGAAATCACCTAAGGATGCATTTCCCAGAATGTATCCCATTGAGTGATGCATGACTGTGTTTATAAATATGGGCTTGATAAATGTGAGATGAATCAATATACTCTGTAGACACAGTCTAGGTAACTTATACAAAAGCCCGTGTGTGTAATCTTTACTTGTATTTTAAGGCTGGAAAAAAGTCAAGGCTCTGAACAATGAAGCAGCTTTCCTACAGAATTCTAGTTAGAAGTTGAGAAGCCTTCACTTGATTTCCCTTCTTTAGATCTCAGGGCACAGTGGCTTTCTGCTGTCTCTGTCTCCTTCCTCTTTTTAATGTGCCTGAGACGTGCATGCTGCTCCATTAGCACTGAGGAAAATACAGCATCACATTTCTGCGTCTGTCCTAAACACATAATGGTTTGGCTGAGAATTGGATTGACTTTGAGATTTTCCCTGCCTCTTCCTTGTGGGACCTGGAAGGGTCCCATAAGGTGGTTTGGCACGGGGCATTTTTCTGGGAATCTGTTAATGCACCCTGGAGCCATCTGAATGCTGATCCATGCTTATTAAAGATGATTTCACTCCATTTAAAGACATCTGCACTCAACATGGGGACGAGGAATCACAGAAATCACACTGCCTTTGGATCCCGCCCCATCAGAACATCGGCGTTAATCAGGGTGATAATAGATGCTCTGATTACAAAGGCTGGAAGTCTTCAGTGCCAAGAATAATTTTAGAGTGATCAGAGCAGAGGTCAAATCTAATTTCCTGCATTTGACAGGAAGGGGAGGAAAACCCAGACCAATTAACAGGATCATTCCCAGGAACCTACAGTCCTTTGAGCTAGGTCAGGGACCTCCAAAAACAGTGTTGAAGGGCTGAGCCAGGTGGCTGGTTTGTCGTTAAGGAGGAGGATCTCGGGGCAATTGCTGTGGAAGGAAAGAGATAACTGAGATGGCAAAGTGGGCTCTGTTCCTGGTACCTGGTGCTTGCTGTGGGCACTTTTCACTTTTCCAGGATGGAGCGGAGGCAGCAGGGGCCTGGCTCGGGCGTGTTTCTTAGGGGACCTTTTAGTCATACAAGACAGAGGGCAGCAGGCAGCCTAAGTCACACCTTGGGAGCTGCTCCTGATCCAAAGCACATAGATTTGCTTTAGAAAGGAAGACAAATGGAACTTTCCAGTGGCAGGTTTGCAGAGCCTCACAGTGGTCTGTGCTCACAAAAATGATAAATCCACTAGCCACTCCCTCTCCAGCTGTGGTGAAGGTGTCAGGAAGACAGACGGGTGGAGCCTGCTGCAGCTGGGGCAGGCAGATGTGATAGGTCAACAGTAAGACATGATGGATGTGGAAAAGTCTTGCTCCTAAGCAGACAGCATGCCAAGAAGTACTGGCCAGACAACTTGGTGAGCAGGCAGAGTTCTCTAACCAGGAGGACATTATGCTTGGTCTTGTCATTCCCTGGGGGCTGCCAGAGGCATGTGAAAAGTGAAACTCAGTTATGAACGGATTAAATATGCTTGTTTCTAAAGCTGAACTCACCTTTACCAGAGCTAGGATGAGTATGAGTCAGTGTTTCAAAGCAATCCCGATTTTCACAGCACAGGTACTTGCATACTCTCTGTGAATCTCCCTCTGCCGAGCACATCCATACGTACGTAATTTCCTTTCACTCATTCATAATTCAGGAGAAACTCTTTAGCTAACAACAGAGTCATGTGGAGGAGCGGAATGAGCAGTGAGCTGGGAGTCAGAAACCCCTGCCACCCACCAGCCATGTGATCAACCCTCTGCTTCTCTGCTGTAAAATAAAAGGGCTTGATCTCTAAGCCCCTGCCAGCCCCTTATGATGCTGTGTAACCCCTCCCACCTCAGGCTGTTCACACGAAGGGAGTCACCTCCTCCCACAGCTGAAGGCTGCATGAGTGTGTCCACATGCAAAACACAAGTGCAGCCATGGCCAGGCGTCCTGTCCCTCCCGGGCTCTGATCATTCTCTACGGACCTCATTGTCTTCATCTATAAGTTGTGAATATTATTTTTTGCTTCTTAAGAATATTTTAAGAATCAAGAGAATGTGGCTCAGGGCTGGAGCCTGACCTTAAGAATCTCAAAGACAGGAAGGTCATTGTCTCCGACAGGGACCCCTGTGTCCTCAGGCTGCCTGTGAGCTGCCCAGGCCCTCTTGGTTTCTGGCAGCTGCAGCTGGGTTGGTGAGGGGCAGGGGAGGGGGATCTGTTCTCAGCATCTCCAAGTGACCTGCTCCCGCTAGACGCTTCCTTTCTAGATACAATGCCATATCAAATGTGTGAGGTGCCCAGGCTAGCCCACAATTATGGCAAAATTACGTGGCTTGAAACAGTGCTGTTTTTCATTATTTCTATCTGTTGCCCAGGCTGGAGTGTAGTAGGGTGATCTCGGCTCACTGCAACCTCTGCCTCCCAGGTCCAAGTGATTCTCCTGCCTCAGCCTCCCGAGTAGCTGGGATTATAGGCAAGTGCCACTCACCCTATCTAGAATTTTCAAGATGCCATGAGGTGAGAGAGATGAGAGGGAAGAGAGCCCACCCAATCCTTAGAGTTTAATCAGATTTTTCTTTTAATGATTTGAGACCAGCTGGCCTGCCTGTGTGAGGAGGGAGCATGTCTCTAGAAACAAGGAGAGACTGTGGGCTTGAAGCCAAGCTGAGCTGAGCTAGATTCCTTCTTGGCCACCAGAAGACACTGTGACCTCCTGGCAAGCACTGTGACCTTTGCTGGGAAGCCTCCAGCTACCCCTCCTCCCCACTGATCCTCCCTGGTTGTCTTTCCTCCTGCTTATTCCAGCCAGCTCCACTGTCCCTTCTCTGGGAAGCCGTTCCTGACTCCTAAGGGTAGGCTGAGCCCCTCCCTCCCCATCTGATTCTCCCACAGCATCCACACTTTTCCCTGACAGCAACCATCACAACTGTAATGAAATGTGTGTACTAATTTGTTGACATTTGTCTCCCTGGAGTTGCAAACCCTCAGAGAACAGGGCCGGTGTCCGTCTTATTCACAGCTGTCCTCAGATGTGAGAAGAGCCCCTGGCACACTGTGCCCAGGAAGTCTCTGCTGGCTGGGACCAACCAAACCCTGAATCTTAGTTGCCTCCTCTATAAAACACCTTGCTGAGCTGTTGCAAGGATTAAATGGCAAAATGTTGTAAATGATTAAACAGGATTACTCATTAGGTCGTTACTGTTCTTCTTATGATGATGATGTCATTCCATAAGTGGTCAGTAGATTTGTTTTCCTAAATCCCAGGGCCACCAGCTCGCTCCTCTGTTCAGAAATGCCTGGTTTACAGTTACTGCAGAGCAAAGTCCCATCTGCTTGACATGGATCCCAAACTTCCCAGCATGGTTTCCCTGGTGTCCCTGCACAAACCCTTTTTTTTTAGATGAAGTCTCGCTCTGTCACCCAGGCTGGAGTGCAGTGGCGTGATCTCGGCTCATTGCAACCTCCACCTCCCGGGTTCAAGTGATTCTCGAGCCTCAGCCTCCCGAGTAGCTGGGATTACCTTCATGTGACACCACACTCAGCTAATTTTTGTATTTTTAGTCGGGACAGTTTTCACCATGTTGACCGGGTTGGTCTTGAACTCCTGACCTCAGACGATCTGCCCACCTCTGCCTCCCAAAGTGCTGGGATTACAGGTGTGAGCCACTGCACCCAGCTCCTGCACAAACTCTTTAATTAATCAGCTCTCGCCATGCTTTTGTCCACTTCACCTCCTCACATAGAATGCTGTTTTCATTCTTCTTTTTCTAGCTAAATTGTCTCCATCCCTCACCCAATGCCAGGCCCTATCAAATAAAAATCCAACGACAGGAAGCATTTGGGTTGTAATAGCAATATCAGATTGACTTCATTTCTTGATTCTGAATCTTGGACCTAGTTGTGGTTGGGAATTCTACAGTGTGTCTTGTTAAATGCCCAAGTCAGGAAGCTTTTATTATCCAAAACCTCTTTATAGCTCTTGGTGATTATATCTTGGATGAGAGACAAGGAAGAGCTCTCAAACTTTCACCAGAGCGTCAGCAGACACCAGGAAAATGTGCCCTGTGAACACATCCCCTCGGAGCCCACTGGCAGCGGAGACAGATGTGATAGATCACGACTGCAGGGAGCTAAAGGTAAGTACCGCCAGAGACGGAAGGCCGAGGAGTTTGTCATGTCATCAGTACCCACCCTTCTGCCTGCAGCCTCATGCAGTTTTCTGGCTTCTGTGGTTTTAAACCATTTTGATTAGTACCACGGGGAAAAGGCCATTTCTAAGTCTCTTCCATGGTTTATGACTTGGAGCAAGCTCTCTTAAAGAGGTATGGTTTTTTGGTGACAACTGCTTTTACTTGGGATGGAACTTCAGAGCAATATTGAACAGTCATTTGGGTGGGACGGTGGGGTGTGGGGGGGATCCACAATGGGCATCAGGCTGACAGCTAGGTGAGAAATGGGTGAGGACGCTGGTGGTTTCTCTCCCACTTTAACATCCTGCCACTCAAGTCAGCACGGTTTTTATCTCCATCATTTCCAAACATTTTTAGCTGTACAGATTTTGTTTAAGCAAAGCACATATAGAACCCCACCCTGCAAATGTGAACAGGCCCTGCTTCAAGAGCGGGAGGGCACCTGGAGTCCTGTCTGCTCTTGTTCCGTCTTCTCCATCTCTTAGAACCTTGAAAGTCATCAGGCACGATTTGAAAACCCCTGGGGTTGTTTTGAAAGACACAAGCTTTGGAGACCATTGAAGTCAGATCCTGGCTCAGCACTTGATTTCCCTTCTCTTGAACCTCTTTTTCTTTTCCTTTAAATCAAATATACCAATATCTTTTTATAAATATTAAATCCTAAACATATAACTTATAATAAACCATGAACAATGTGTGGAAAGTGTCTGGCCCCCTTGAGTGTAGGTGTTCAATAAATAACAGTTTGATAAGGCCTCAAACAAGCCCCCTTTGCCGGGGCTGTGGGGGGTTCAAATATGAATAAGAGACTTCACAAAGCTGAGGGTCTATTCCCTTCTCTAGGACGCGTTAGAGTAAGAACTATCGATGAGGAAACAAAGTGCCGTGGGAGGGAAAAGGAGGGAGTGAGCATTTCTGATCCGACTTCCCATTGCCTACTCAGCGTTATTTTGCACTTCTTCCTCTGTAATAGCAGCCCTAATTTCCATCTGGAATCACAGTTGCTGGGAATGAAAACCACATTTCCCAGCATCCTTTGCAGCAAGTGGCCATGTGACTAAATTTTGGTCAATGAAATGTAAGCAGAAATGGAAACCTCTTTCAGAGACACTGGTGCTTATCCTTCCTTCCGTCTTCTCCCCACTCACTTCCTCTGTCTCACTGCTGAGAATGTGCCTGTCTGACTGGCTGTTTCTGGTACCTGCAGTTGTATTTAGCACCCTGAAGAAGGCACTGGTTAAAAGGAATCCTTGGGGAATTAAAATGTTAATAGATGTACAAAGGATGAATAATTTCATTTTTCTTCAATGTATCACAAAGCCTCAACAGTGAACTTTAACTGATACATCATGTAGCAGGTTTTCTCCAAAGAGGTTAGGTGGCTTTGTGATTTTAAACATCCCACAGTCCCATGGTGGGGGTCCTGCTGATTATGGACAACTGGATTTCAGGGTCTCAGGCAAAGTTCCCTCTAATATTTCTTTTTTTTTTTTTTTGAGACAGAGTCTAGCTCTGTTACCCAGGCTAGAGTGCAGTGGTGCAATCTCTGCTCACTACAACCTCCACCTCCCAGGTTCAAGTGATTCTCTTGCCTCAGCCTCCCAAGTAGCTGGTATTACAGGCAGGCACCACCACGCCCGGCTCATTTTTGTATATTTAGTAGAGACGGGGTTTCACCATGTTGGTCAGGCTGGTCTCGAACTCCTGACCTCAAGTGATCTGCCCACCTTGGCCTCCCACAGTGGTGGGATTACAGGCATGAGCCACCATGCCTGGCTGGTTCTAATACCTCTAAGTTATTAAAAAGACAGCCAGTATTCAGGGTACAGTTATTGATGTTCTTGGGATGAAAGGCAGCAGGCACTGGTGGACTCTGTTTCTCTGATCTCATCCCAGACCCTGAGAGGCAGAAGGGCCTGAGCTAGGGGGCCTCTCCTGGGGTGTAACTAGGCTCCAGCAGAGAGGGCCTTCTCAGAGCTAGAGCCTGAGGAAGGGTCTGGGCTGCCCCTCGGCCAGCTGTCTGGCAAGATTACTCAGACTGTCAGGGCCTGATTCCAGGATGATATGAGTTAGCTCTGTGTCCCCATCCAAATCTCACCTTGAATTGTAATAATCCCCATGTGTCAAGGATGGAGCCAGGTGGAGATAATTGAATCACGGTGTCGGTTTCCCCCATACTGTTCCTGTGGTAGTGAGTAAGTCTCATGACATCTGATAGTCTTATAAAGGGGAGTTCCCCTGCATAAGCCCTCTTACCTGTCACCATGTAAGACTTGACTTTGCTCCTCCTTGCCTTCTGCCATGATTGTGAGGCCTCCCCAGCCATGTGGAACTAGGAGTCCATTAAACCTCTTTCCTTTACAAATTACCCAGTCTCAGGTATGTCTTTATTAGCAGCATGAGAACAGACTCATACACAGGAGAACAAAGGGCTGGGATGGGGATGAAAGTAAAGGACAAGAGGACATCCTAGGGCTCAACTGGAAGGAGGCATGAGGGGCTGGAGAAGGGAACTATGCTGAGGCCATCTGAAGAGCCCTGGATTCCCTGGCCCTGGGTCACCAGTTGGACTGAACAGGGCAGACTGTTGTCGAGTGAGTGATAGAAGTTCTCTCCAACCACATCATGCCTCCCTCTTACTGCTGGAAATCCTGCATGTAAGACATAGGACTGAAATTGTACCAACGTGCGTGGGAGAGAGTAAATATCTCCTTTTTAAAAAGTGGGACACTCTGGGATTATGAGTCAATTCAATCAGCATGGTGTCCTGTGATCACCACCCTGAGAAAAGGGGAATTGGGCTGAGGAGAAGAGGATGAGAGAAAGAGACATTTAAATGCCAGAGGGACATAAGGATGAGTGTTTTGACAAGACAAGGGGACACCATGAGGGCACAGACATGATGCATGTTTATTGAACACCTACCACATGCCAGATATTATGCTAACACTGGGGACAAACCTATGAAATCAAGGCTGCCCCTGGTTTACTTTACAGTGTTGGTTTGTGCCAGATCATGTCCCTTTCTCTTGTTCTTAGGAATCAGATGGAACAATGTTGCTCTCCTTTGGAAAACAGGGCTCTGCTCACTTAATCTGCCTGGCTTATGGTCCTGTGTGATAGTGTTGGAAAGTAGCCTGCAGGGCATCTCTACATTTGGCAAGAGCTGCCGTGGAGACAGAATCTGTGCTCTACCCCTCAACAGCTCTCCAGCAAGGGACCCCTTCTCACCTCTCCATCCTTGGCCAGGGGAAGCTGGTCAGGGCCATGCTCATCTGGGTTGGATGAGGCTCTTGGAAGGGAATGTGTGGAGGGTCTTGAATCATACAAAATGGCTCATGTGTGCGGCTTGTTGGGGTCACTGGTGGAAGGGTCCTGGGTTCAGGGGAGAAATGTGGCTTGCCACAGAAGACAGAGCCTGCCCACTGAGGTGCCCACAGGGTGGCAAGATGAAGACTCCCAGACTCCTTGGCCTGGGGCCTTCTTTCTTCAGCAGTTCTCAGCTGTGGAGCTGATGGGCTGTGATCTGTTAAGGGATGTGTTAAAAAGATCTATGCTGTAACTACTAGCATTTATTGAGCTCTTATTACAACCTAGTCCTCATACTAAATGCATGTATGAACTCATTTAATCCTCCCAACAATCCCATGAGGCAGGTGCTGCCATTATTATTGTTGCAATTTTATAGGTGAGAAAACCAAAGCACAGGTAAGTTAAGACTTGCAAAAGGTAGGCAGGAAGCAGCAGATCCAGCATCTCAGCCCTGGCTGTCTGGCTGAAGTCCCAGTGATTATCTACTATACTCTATGGCCTTTATGCACTATCAAAATACTGAAGCTTGAAAATTATTTTGTAAAACATCAATCAGAAGGGCCTTCAAGCTATTACTTTAATCCTTTATCCCTCATAGTGCTTCTGTAGATTGCAGTCCAACAAGCTTTCTTTAGTGGACAAGACAGACGTGGCGTTACAACCAGCATTGGGGGAATTCTGCCTACCT